TATACTCTAAAATGTGAATGGTTCGGATTATCCAAACGAATCCCAAAATAAGTCCATAGAACTGCACAATAGTACCTGCTGTGCACCAAACACAGCATGCACCCCAAATCCGTTACACGATTGTTATGCTCATTGTTTTCACTCTTGATGAACCTATTGTAAATAAGTTGCTTCCTTACGGAGTTGGAGTCTCATTGTTGTGATCAAAACTTCACTTTTCCATACTCTCCTTCTAACTATTGCAAGGTTCTAAATATCGGCCGGTACATGCCGTACCGGCTGGTTCGTACCAGAAAATTGGAGTGCCAAGTCAAATACTCACCGGTATACCGGTGAGAATGAATTTCGGGTCCGTAGCGGCCGATTCCCAATACGTATCGGCCTGAATCCGATACGTGAGCGATTTAGTTCCGATGCAGTCCGGTACAGCTGAAAATGGAGCAAAGCACCTGCAAAAATAATTGAGCAAAGCAAACCCAAACCCAAACCCATCACCGATTTCAAGCTTCTTCGTTGAAGTTTTGTTCTCTCATGCTCTGTTTGTATTTGTCATGCTCTGTTTTTTCTTTTGGCTAAATAAGTCATGCTTTTGCTTGTTGGTAGCTCACCGGTTGGCTAGATTGGCTATCTTCTCTCCGGGGTTGCGTATTTGGATGGAAGAGGTTTCGACTTTGGTTGCTTCAGCTGTTCATATTGACGTTGCTGGTTCATGATTTCTCTGTTTTTTCTTTTGGTCTTTTCTGATGTAGTCTCTGTTTTTCAAACACTATCTAAAAAAAGTTGTTGTGTTTGGTTTATAATTTGTTTTTGTTTTTTTCTTTTTTCTGTGGTTATTTTTTATTTATATTATGGTATGGGATGGGAATGAGATATATTTTAATATATATTTATGATTCGTCAAATATTTATATATATATTAGGAGCATTTATATATATTGAAGCAAAGCTCTGCAGATCCCCATCAACCTTTATATTTGCTATCCCACTTTATTTTTCTATTTCAGTCTCCTATGTGTTGATTAGTTTCTTTGCAGAGTCCAACATTATCTTCACCAAATTCTGAATCATATTTTTCCCATTTAATCATTTTGTTTGAAAAATTATCTAACATTATGATGAGAGGTGGAGGTTAGTATTGTATTAGTACCTTAACTTTATCGGCATAGAACTCAGGAGCAATTGTTTTTAAATGCACAATATATAAGTTCAGAAGCTCAATATATTTTAAATGCACATAATTTTTCATATGTATTATTAAGTAAAAAAATATTTCCACATCAATTTTATATTAAAAGTTTAACATATATGCCAAATAAAAGCTTGAGACTAAAATAAATACATATCATTTGGTTGAAAATGAGTCAAAAGTGCCTCTACATATCAAAATTTTGATTAAAATGTGATAAATTAAGGCTAAAAGAGTCAAAAAAATACATAAAATTGAGTTTTAGAGGGATTGCTAATGATTTTTGAAATTTCACAGCCGCGACGCCCAATACCCGATACGTACCGGTCGATACTACCGATACCGATACTCCGCGAGCGATACTGTGCGGGGAAATCCCACATCGGTCTGTGAGGGACTGCTTTCCTACCTTATAAGCTGATTGCCTCCTCTACCTAGCATAAGGCCTTTTCCCCCAGTGGGGGAGGAACAAAACCGTGAGGCGGGTTTACGCCAAAGCGGACAATATTGTGCTAGGCACAGGGTGGGGCTTCATTTGGTGTCGTCTGTGGGAACTCCCTCCGGCACGTGTGATGAAAAATCCCGTGTCGGAGCTAGTCAGCTGGGGGCTAATGTGCGGGAAAATCCCACATCGGTCTGTGAGGGACTGCTTTCCCACCTTATAAGCTGATTGCCTCCTCTACCTAGCATAAGGCCTTTTCCTTCAGTGGGGGAGGAACAAAACCGTGAGGCCGGTTTACTCCAAAGCGGACAATATTGTGCTAGGCACGGGGCGGGGGCTTCATTTAATTGAGAGGGGGATTCTTAATTGGACTTGCAACCGTGGAAGAGGTTGGGCAGGAAGAGGTCCGAGCATGTTTGTGCTGAGCTAACCTGGGCCAATCCTGGGTTGGTTTGCTCGGTTGAAGTCCAGGGCCCATTCAACCAAGATGGTTTTCTGTCAGCCCGGGCTTTACTGTTCTCCTATTTAGCTCGACGATAAAGGTCTTCTGCGGACCGGCCTAGCTTGGCTGGAGCGCGGTCGTACCAGAATGCTACTAAGCTCGGTTGTGATGAAGCTCGGCGAGGGACTTTGTCGGACTCATTAGGTAGCACGGTCGTAGGAGGCCGGGATAATGCCGCCGGGCTGCTCGTTCCCACCAATGTTGTTTGGCTGTTTGATTAGGTGGTGTTTGGCTGAATTTGCGCTGACAGATGGGAGAGCGTGTTAGGAGAGCAACTCCACGTGCCAATAGGCGAATGGATGCAGAGGTAAACGCAGAAAGTATATAAGCATGACTGTGCCCCCCATGCTAGGGATGGAATATCAGTTGGTGAGAGAAACTCTAGCACTTTGTCTGCTCCTCTCTCCCTCTCTATCTGAGTGTGTGCTAATTTGACCGTCGGAGGGGTTCTCCGGCAACACACCGCCGGGTAGCTCACCGTCGTTGTATTCGCAGGTTAATCGGATCGAAGTGGAGCTTGGACGCAAGGAGTACGGGCGGTATCGAATATTTCCTCTCCATACAGATACCGTTACGTTACCCGATATCGCGATTTAGAACTATGACCTATTGTAAAAATAATTAAAAAAATTAAACAAAAAGAAGAAAAAAAAAAGGTTATGTTCACACTTAGTATCATCCTTGCTTGTGCACGTTATAATTCTGGACTTAAAAGGGTGTATTTGCTTTGTGTTTTGAAATAAATTTTCAAAATTTTTTTTTGGAGAGTGAGAGTTTAGGGTAGTGTTTGGTCGAGTTTTAAAATTATGATTTGAGAATAGAGTTGTATTTTGAGTTCGTGAGTTTTCAAATTATGATTTGAAAAAAGAAAATTTGTTTGGTTATGAGTTTTAAAAAGAGTTTTGGAATTGAGTTTTGCATTGAGTTTTGAATTTTTGATGTGACATATGAAATGAGAAAAGTTGTTTGGTTATGAGTTTTGAAAAGAGTTTTCAAAACTTAATTCAAAAATTTATAACTCATAACCAAACATACAACTCAAAACTCTATTGAAAATTCTATTCAAAACTCATAACCAAACTCTTTTTAAAATTAAATTCAAAAAAATAATATCATTTTGGTCTAAAAAAATAATTTGTATATTTAAAAAATATCAAAAACAAATATAATTTTTTTTTAAATAACATAATTTTTTTTTTTTAAATAACAGGTGGCGATTGGCAATTGCCCCAAAAAAAAAAAAAAAAAAAAAAATTACACTGTTCCAGTCACAAAAATTCAAAAATTGTCTGGTTTATCAAACATGTTTTCAAAATGTGTTTTGCAATTTATTTGGAATCATAATTTCAAAACTCTTACCAAACATAGCATTCAAATATAAGGGTGGAAACTTGATTTCAAAATCACACCAAACACAACTTAGAAATTTTTTTGGTTTGTTTGAGTGTATATTTTGAAAATAGTTTTGAAGTTTGAGAGTTTGGGATGATTTGATATTTTGTTTTAGTGGAGTAGATGTGTGTGAGAAAAAAAAAATGATTGAGAAGGAGAGAGGAGAGACGAAAAGTGATTGATTGATATGCAGGAGAAAGAAAGTGATTTTGAAAAAAAATTTCAAAAAATTTGAACCAAACAAAATTTTGAAATTTTTTCTCAAAAATAATTTTATCTTGAGATACAAACCAAACAAATCCAAAGATTTTTGAAATTCTTGTATTTGTGGCCTTATTTCTTCAAGCTAAAAGTCATTTGAGATGCATGATTGAGCAACATTGATTATCAAATGGGTTAAATTTATCCAGTATTCTCTAATTAAGCATATAACATTACCACTTTCTCATCCTTTTTTTTTATATAAATTTTTTATTTATCACTTTCATACATTCTGTTTCTATCAGCCTGTAGATCTGCATATGACATTTTTCGAAGATAAAAATGGCATATTGTAAAATGCAAGAAATTTAAGACAATTGTAAAAGCTTGGGTAAATTACACATACACCCCTTGAAGTTTGGATTTAATACATATTATTCCCTACCGTTTGGAAAATTACACTAATCTCCCATCATTGTAATTATTTAAACGGAATAAAGATATTGAATTTATGTACTCTCTCTTTTCTTGCTTTGTTTTACTTTTTTTTTTTTTCCTTTGCTTTACTCTTTTGTTTTTTTCAATGTAATTTCCTTTGTTTTATAGAAGTTGTTGCTTTTTATATAAGTAGGGGGTTTTGTGAAATAAGACTATTAACCACAGAGATGGGAATGTAATTTCCAGAACGTCAAGAGGCGAGATGTGACCAAACCCCAGGGGTGTTAGTGTAATTTACCCTAAAAACTTCCCATGGATGAGAGAGAAGGAACAGATCAATTCCACAACCAATTTCCCTCCAAAACACATGGAAGGGAAATGATACGATCAGTTTCATAAGTGCACTCACATTGCTCACATGAGAATTTAAGTCAACAACTTTTATTAGACAATGTTGCAAACATGTAAAATGCTTAATTGAGTCGAAGAGTGGTGATGATTTCAGGCATTTCTGTGCCAACAATGGTAGAGAAGTTTATTCTACTCTTTACTAGAAGAAGAACACTCAACTCAACTAAACCTTTGTCCCAATTACTTGAAGTTGGTGACAGGAATCCATTTCTTTAGAACTATAAATGCTCTTTACCTGAGCTTTTATTTATATTTTAATTGTGTGGTTGGTTGACGCTGAATTTCTAAAACCTTTTCATACTGTTTCTTTTCTTTTCTTTTCTTATCTTTGAATTATTTATGACTTTTGTTTGATAAGAAACTTTCAATCCTCATTTTTACACTCAGCATACTGTCTACTTATTACATTCCATCCTTGGACCTTGCAGGCAAAAATCAAATAGATGGAAGCTCATTGTAGGTATACCCTCATTCTTGTGGAAACCTGGCAAAGGAAGAAATTCAACTTAACCCAAAGCATCTCATAATGCTACAATGTTGTTTCACGCCAATTTCTCTGGCAATGCAGCAAGAATTCACCATCTTGTGATGAGCAATGAATAATTCATTTCTGCAACAAAAGACCAACATTCTATTGGAAGTCGTCAATCATTCTTGCCAAACCCAAGCTCCCATTACTAACCTAGGCAACTGAATTTCAATTAGGCATTATATCAACATTGAACTTGATTTATGAGATTGAGGCACATCATGTCAAAATTTGATTTTGGGGCTATTTGATACAGCTTATTGCGGTTTTATAGCTTTTGCTATTTTAGGAATTTGCTAGTATCTGACATAGTTTTTGTTTACAACTTTATAATGCAAAAATAACTTAAATAAGCTGGGAAAAAAACTGATTATTGGGAAAAAAACTGATTATTGAGAAATTAGTGGGAATATAATTTTGGCTTCTGCTTTTTGATTATCGGCTTTTTAGCTTACAATAAATTGCACCAAATGGGCGATTAATTCATTATTTATTCTTTGCACTTTTTGTAGGTATTGCAACTGGAGGCATTTGTGCTCTGCTTGCTGTAGTCTTACTGCTCATGTTCAAGTACAAAAGGAGAATCGCTACAATCTTCAAGCCATCATATTCTGGAAAGAATCAAACGACAGGAGATCAAAGAAAAGCAAAGGAATTCTTTAAGAATTACCAATCAACCTTACTGACAAACTACTCATACAATGATATAAAGAAGATGACCAACAACTTCAAAGAAAAATTAGGGGAAGGTGGATATGGAAATGTCTTCAAGGGAAAGTTGCCACCAGATGGCCGGTTCATTGCTGTCAAAATGCTCATGGATTATAGAGACAACAGCCAAAATTTCCTTAGCGAAATCACCTCCATTGGTAGGATTCATCATGTTAATGTTATACGTTTATTAGGCTTCTGTTGGGATGGCTCAAGACAGGCTCTTGTTTACGAGTACATGCCTAACAAATCGCTAGGGGATTTGTTACATAAAGGGGAGGTAAGTGTTTCATTGGGACTTACACGATTACATGAAATTTCCATAGGAGTTGCACATGGACTAGAGTATTTGCACAATGGTTGCGACTCACGAATCTTGCACCTTGATATAAAGCCTCAGAATGTGTTGTTGGACCAGAATTTTGATCCCAAAATTTCTGACTTTGGATTGGCAAAAGTATACTCTCGAAATCAAAGTGCAGTCACGATGACAAAAGCAGGAGGAACCATTGGTTATATTGCTCCCGAGATCTTGTTCAGAAATCTTGGCAAACCTTCTCATAAATCAGATGTTTATAGCTTTGGAATGTTGTTACTAGCAATGGTTGGTGCAAAGACGCAAGTCCAGCCAGAGGCGAACACTTCGAGTGAAGCACAGTTTCCGGGTTGGATTTATGACAAGCTCATGATTGATGAAGAAAGGGACAATATGGAGCTTGAAGATTTTGTTGTTGGAGAGGAAGTTTATATAGCGAGGAAGATGCTCAAGGTTGGGCTATGGTGCATCCAAATAAATCCGAAAGATCGTCCCTCCATGGCAAGAGTGGTGGAAATGTTGTGTGGCAATGTGGAAGCCATTGAAATGCCTCCAAAGCCCATCTTCTTCTCACCTCCTCGCAAGCAACTTGAGCAGGAGACTATTATTAGCTCCAATGAAAGCGAAAGCAGTGTCTTAGCTCTCACTAGCTCTCGCAAGTGGGAGGCATGAAAATGTAAAAAAATAGAACCCAAATGACCAAAAAAAGAAGAGTTGCCTAGGGTTGTTTTGAGGATGATGAGAATCATCTTCATGTGGTGGTGAAGATGATTGGAAGATGATGAGCCATGGTCTTCTTTCAAATCATTCAGTTACTCAACTCAGTTGAACAAGCATTGATGTTTCCCACTTCATCTTCTCATTTAGTGACAAGATCTCGCAAAATTTGACAAGGGGGTAATTTTATTTCCATATATTAATTATTTTCAGTTCTCAATCAAATTTTATCTTAATATAATTTTGTCTTAGAATAAAAATATTATAATATCCTTATCTTTTTTGATCCAAACTCTAATTCTAAAACACCATAACCATTCTCTATAGCCAGTGCCACCTCTCTCCTCTGCCATCCCCTCCCATCATCTCTTTCTCCCTCCGCTTGTGACCATCTTCGGTCATGAATCATACACTCTCACAAGCCGTGAATAATCCACTTTCTAGGTTACTGTGGAGATCTAGGATGGAACTTGGAAGGGGATAAGTTAGGAGTAGTGGTGATGATGGATGGCTAAAAGTGGCGGCAAGTAAGAGTAGGTGGATGGAAGAAAAATTAAGGTTTTGAAATTGAAAATGATATTATTATTGAAATAAAGAGATGTGCACTGAGAAATTTTAGTTTTTTGATGTGTACTGAGAAAGTGTTCATCAAGTATGTGTACGGAGATGAGAGAAATTTGGGTGTGTTTGATTGGACGGACTGGATAAGTGAGGATTAGAATCCATCGGACTTGAATCTTGGGACTGTGAATCCCTCGGATTATTTTGTTGGATTGGATATGTATTCTGTGTTTGTTTTCTCATGGGATTAGATGTCTAGAAAAGACTATTTTTAGTGAATCCAATGTTTGGTTGGACCGATTGGATAGGATAAATGAACAAAAGACTATTTTACCAATTTTTCAATTGTTTACTAAGTAATAGCAATATTAAACATATCTTTAATGTTTTAATTATTTTTAGCTAGATTAAATAAAAATTTATTTTATTTTATTTTTTACACAATTAAATAAATTTATTTTTTTAAAATTAAATAAATGTAATATCAATAAAAATATATGTTATTTTTTAATTAAAATTTTAAATAAATTTGTTTTTTAAAATAATAATAATTAAACAATGAAATTAAATAAAATATTTATTAAAATTTAAATAATGAAATTAAATAAAATATAAACAAAATTTTAAAATAAAACATCAATAAAAAGTTAAATAAAATTATTTTATTTTTAAATTGAGGCATTTAAATTTTATTGAATTTTACTAAATATAATATATAATTAAATAGCAGATAGTCAAAATTGTAATTTTACCACCTAATTCCAACAGTAAATAGTCCTTTCAAAATTATCCCATACCCTCCAGGATAGTATAATCTCCCATATGGGGGATAGGAGTCTGGCCGGACTCCATGTCTGGCGGATTAAAAAAAAAACAAACGTCAGATAAAGAGCTTCCTCCGAATTACAATTCCAATAGTAAATAATCCTCCCCTTATCTCCCAATCAAACACACCTTTTGTGTAGTTATAAAATTACTCTTGACAAAGGCGGAAGTAGTTGAATGAAGTTACAAATCAGCCCATGATCAAAGAGAAAAGAGGAACCACCATGATTGGCTAATGTAAGTAGTCAAAAGAAAGGGGACTATAAAAGGAGTAAAAAAAGTTTAGAGATCTTTTGGCCAAATTAAAAAATGTTTTAGATGATAGAGTAGGAGTCATCTTTAATTTACAAATGTATCTTACAAATAGAACGGGGAGTCGCTATTTCCACTCTATTTTCCTCTAAATACACTTTTTTCTTTGTCATTATAATATATAGTTGCATAATACCTTTTTACACAAAATACACTCCTTGAAAAAATCAAAATTTCAAGGATATTAATATAACTATGTATAATAAAGATAAAGAATGAAATGTTTGGAATAAAGTGTAATGAGAATAAAGGCTTCCACAAAATAAGATGCAAATTAGAAGTATTGCAACAAAGTTAAATTTTTAGTCTAATTACTTCAAGTTCGCTTGAAGTTCACTTGAATTTCTTTCACTTGGTTCTTATTTATTTGTTTAAAAAAAGTCTTTAAATCTGTCAAAGCATTAGAACCTTAACATATAACCTGATTCTTGCTTAGAGAATTTGTGGTAAGGAGGCACTGTCAATTCACAATCTAACAATAAATCTACTAATCGTTATATAAGGAGTATGCCCCCATTTTTGAGCTCTATATACAATAAATCTACTAATCGTTATATAAGGAGTATGCCTCCATTTTTGAGCTCTATATACGTATATTTATTTGAGAAATATTATACAAATTAAATTTTTATATGACACATGCATATCATATTATTTAAGTTATGTTACATGTTTTAGAAGTTTGATTTATTATTTTTTTCCATGACACATAATTAGTAAAAAAATTATAAAATTTGTTAGTGTGCATATCATTTTTTTCCCAATTACACTACAAACACATGACAAATCACACACTAAACCACGAGTAATTATCATGTTCTCTCATAACATTATGTTGGGTATTTGTACGGGAAGGAAATAATTCTCCTCGTATAATCCTGTTGACCAATTCCACGCTCCTCCGTACGACGTCGCTTTATCACCTGAAAACACAAACGTGAGCTAGCCGGCGGGTGTGTGTCGGAAACCTCTCCGATGCCTAAGTCAGTAAGCTTGACGAATAGACAAAGTTTTATGTTCTCAGAAAGAATTACGTTCAAATTACCTCCTCCAAGGTGATGCTTGTGGGCTTTTATAAGTTTTCCGTGGCACAATCCTAGTAGGACTTGTACTTCTCCATGCAGAGTTCTCCTAGGATTCGTTCTCCTAAGGATAATGCTTATCCTTTTACACCCTCCCCCACTGCTTAAACCAAGTGGGATGGTTTTCTCCATGGCCGAATTACTATTTGACCGAAGTAACATTAGCTATGCCGAGCCACAAAGTGGGCCGTACTAACAGTAGTTTGGTTCTTCTTCATGCTACACCATATCTCGGTTCTCTCATACACGAACCGTGGTATGCTTGGACCGATCTACTGAGTAGCTACATGCCGACCGACCTACCCTGAATTCATCATGACCGGACTACCTTTCTTGGGACCGTACTAACTCAAGTTGTCCAATACCGAAGCAGCTTTACGATTCCTTAGCCGAAGTAACTTTATCTCTTTTGACCGTAGTCAGTCAACATCTCCTCAGAACCGGAATAAATCTATCGTTCTTGAACCGGAGTAACTTTAACAGCTTGGGCCGGAGTATCTTTTATCTCTCCTGGGCCGGAATAACCTTGCGGCCTTTTCACCAAGTCCTTGGTGCTTTGGGCCACGAAGCCCACCACATAGCTCGGCCCAATTTTTACCAAAAATTACCCTCTCAATTGCCTCTTAATTCCATCTGCATTGCATGATTGGGATTACCAGTCCACCAGCCGAGCTGGCGCCTGCTTTAAGCTTTTCCAGCCGAACTAAAAATACTTTAGCCTCTCCAGCCGTGCTAAAAACTCTCGAACTTTTAAGCCGAGCTAGATTTTACTTCGGGCTCCGTTTTGTTCGGTAAAAAACGTCTCTTCAATCATAGCGTCTGTAACGCTTCCCATTCCAGTGACACGTGGCAGGCTCTGATAAGCCGTGGCCAACTGTTACGCCGCCCTGCAGAAATTTTGTACAATTCCCGCCTCTTTTTGCCGCCTTTTTCTCTCCCCTCTTTCACAAAACAACCTTTCTTTTTCTTGAATCACTTCACCTTTCATTCTTCACTTTCTCTTCTCCTCTGTTTCCTGAGCTTTTGAGCTTTGAGCTTGCTGTGTTCGTGCTTCTATTGCTGCCATTGCCTCCATCTCTTAGCTTCTCTCTTACTCGGGTAAGCAAGCGTATCCTTCTTGCTCTTTTGCCTGTGTTATCATCTGTTTCTGTTTTGTATGCTTTTTTGAAAACACTTTTCTCCATTTGTTGCTTTGCTTTCGTACTTTTATGAAAAATCCAGTAGAACTCCATGTGTGTATGAACTATTATGTAGAAAACCACTCTTAGATCCAAAATTACATAGCAACCGAACTAGGATCCTGTTTGCCCCCAAATAGGTAGATCTTTGTAGTCAATAACCGAACTAGAACTTGAAAGTTTCAAAGGGGTTACCAGAGTCTAACTCGCTTTAGCCGAAATAAGATCCCCAAGTTTTGAATATAGCAAACTAGGAACCTCGGTGGTCAACCGAACTAAGCTTTTGGGGGCCAAGTCGGCTCTCTTGGTTCCTAAACCGAACTCAGAAAGCCGCCCCCAGAGGCTTAACCGAAGTAACTCTATTCACAATGCAGCCGATTTAGGCCTTGGGGCTAAACCAGCTCTCTTAGTCTTTTAGACCGAACTCAGAAAGCTGCTCCTAGACGTTAAACCGATCTACCGAGCAAACTGCTCAAACTGAGCTGCCAAACCTATTGATGAACCGAGATAGAACCAGTTAATTTGAGGCCGAAGTAGGGCTCTTATACCTTGCTTTTAAATTGTAGCACGGTCCATTGATCAGTGCTTTAACCCCCTCTGTTTTTTACTTTGCAGACTTAGGTTACCCAGGCACTCCTGCGTGCGCTCAACCGAGCTACTGAGCACGATTTTTGCACCGAAATAACTTATCCATAAATTATACAACAAATGGGTAAGTATAGGTATTTAGTTGAGACCCCTGGTGGGATGGCCGAATTCAGGAAGGACTAACCAAGTCCACGCTCCTCCGTACGACGTCGCTTTATCACCTGAAAACACAAACGTGAGCTAGCCGGCGGGTGTGTGCCGGAAACCTCTCCGATGCCTAAGTCAGTAAGCTTGACAAATAGACAAAGTTTTATGCTCTCAGAAAGAATTACGTTCAATTACCTCCTCCAAGGTGATGTTTGTGAGCTTTTATAGGTTACCATCTAGTAAGCGAGTTTTTAAGTAAAAGGTGAGATATTAGCTCAATGGAGTGTTGAGATAGTGGTATTATTCGATTGCTCATACATCTACACGAATTCTCCAGAACTAATTATTTACAGCCAAAAAATTACAGTTGGCCTTGTCAGTGTAACGAATATGTCAGGTGAAGTGCACTCTACGAGTGTCTTGTAATATCCTGTATGG